TTAGCGACGCCTTCTTGCGCTGGAGCACTGCTTACGGAGGCGTGTCAACTTTGCATCGCACATCTCAACTTAATAGTCATCCGTCTTTCTCATCAAGTTGCCGACGGAAAGTTTAACTGCGCTTGCATTTAGGCCTACTCGCTATTCTTTTATGCATACGCCTAATTGATTCTAGCTTTACTCAACTTTTGCTTTACAAAAATTGAATTATGTCGCTAAAACGTACACCACCGAAGACTCCTCTTACAAATAAAACTAGTAGTTCTACGCTAGAAGTCACTCCTACACCAAAAACAGAACAGTCAATCTTAGAGACGAACTTATCTAATTTCGAAGATACTTTTGTTACTACTAGGCGAAAATATGATAATTTAGAGTTAAATCACTTCATGAGAGAAATGAAAGAGATGTTGTCAACCGCCGCCTCGCAAAATCAACAAAAAATATCATCCTTGGAGTCCAGCATTAAGGAAGTAATCTCTCAAAATTCTGGAATCATGGATTCGCTGAACTTTATATCACGTCAGTACGATGATTTAAATAATAAGTTCCATGCGCTATTAGCCGAGAGAAAAGAAGATCGTGCCTACATCCGCAAACTTGAAGATAAAATCTCGCACTAGAACACCTTTTGCATTCGACTAAAGTTGAATTAAAAAACATTCCCAAAAATGACCGCGAGACCAAAGCGAGGTATGCAGCATTGTTCAGAAAACCGCACAAAAGTTGGATGTGTTAGTACAGCTCAGTGATTTAAAAAACGTATATCGCACAACAAATAAAACCACCCACGCTTCGGCGATAGTTGCTGAATTCACATCAACCCTTGCAAAAGAAAAATTAATAAAAAACGCCCGTAGATTCAACAAAACGAATAACGGAACTTCTCTCAATACGTCACTCTGCACGCTATATTACTCAATAAAAACTAAATTATTGAACTTACAAAAGTGACTAGTAGTAAGTGTGATAATGTCTCTATTAGTCTTACTTCTATTGTTATTCAAAACTAATTTAATATTTTTAAATAATGTTTACCTATTCATGCCGTGTATAAAATGTAACTTGCTTTTAACTGTTCAGTATACTCACCTAATACTTATTTCACTTATTTACATAATACATTCAAACACAACACAACTCAATCACACACTCATTAATAGTAAGTACACTCACTCTTAATTGTTATACTTTTATTCAAAACTAATTTAATATTTTTAAATAATATTTATCTACTTTTGCCGCGTATAAAATGTAAATCACTTTTAAGTGTTCAGCATACTCACCTCATACACATTTCACATATTTACATAATACACTCGAACACGACACAACTCAACCACTCATTCATTAATATTAAACATACACTCTTAATAGTTATATTTTTAATCAAAACTAATTTAATATTTTCAAATATATTTACCTATACTTGCCGTTTATAAAATGTAAATCACTTTTAACTGCTCAGTATACTCACCTCACACTTATTCCACTCATTTACATAATACATTCAAACAAAACACAACTTAATCACTCACTCATTAATAGTAAACACACACTCTCAATTTTTATATTGTATATACGATCCATTAACTATAGCTTTAAAATTAACGGTACCACTTCAAGTAATTATTTTATACTGTTAGTTAAAGAATTTAAGTTAAAAGTACACTATGTAACGTCTTTAAATGAATTACAAATACTTTGTTATGGGCTATTACTTGTAGTGGTTACTTTACATATTTATTGCACACAATTTAACTTTTTGTACTCAATTACTAATATAATTAAAAGGCGATAACACAAAAAACTTAAGCGATGATATTGACCAATTTACTATATCAAACTCATCACTACTTTACGACCTGGATAATTTGTCTAGGTTAATATCTGATCAAAAACATAAGTTAAAAATAATGCATCAAAACATTAGAAGCATAACTCGCAACATAGATGAACTTAATGTTCTAATACATAGGTCAGCTTTAGAATGGGACTTAATTCTTCTTACAGAATGTTGGTTGCCATCCACTCACTATATTCCGATAATGGATGGCTATAACTATTGTAAAACACTTAATAATGCAACCCAAAATGAGGGTGTAGTGGTGTATTTCAAAAAAATCTTTGAATATAACCTGGCAGGAGCTGTCAATATCAGATTGTAATTGTATTCTTCTAAAAATAGGTAAGGATACCATAGTCCTTGTAATTTATAGACCAGCTGGATTTAAGGATCCTACAAATTTTATTGAATCGCTTAGTAGTACGCTTGATCAGTATTTACATTATAAAACCATAATTGTAATTGGCGATATGAATATAGATATTGTTATACATAGTAAGGACTCCTACTCTCCATATTACTTAAATAGTCTGGCATCTAAAGGTATGTTACCTGCCCACACCTTCCCTACCCATGGCAATACGTGTCTAGATCACGTCATATTGAAAACAAAACTTCGGTCAACCTGCTACGTTGCGGAGACTTCCATTACTGATCATGATACTCTTATATTTCTATTAGAGGCTACTCTAGATACACGTAGTTTTCCGCCAAAAATTAGAGAACGTGTAAATTACGATAATTTAGATAGTTACCTTCTCACTTTAGACTTTAAAAGTATTTATTCTATGGTAGATGTTGACTCAGCAGCTACATTCCTGTTAAAATCCCTAAGTAATGCTTTAAAAATGAATACTAAAACAATTAAAGTTTCTAATCGCAAAATTATTAAAAAGCCCTGGATTACCCCAGGTATTTTGAGATGCTTAAGAAATCGCGACAAATTACACCAAAAATGTAAAAAATATCCGCATGATGACGTAATCGTAATTACATACAAACGTTACTGTAATTATTGTAATGAACTACTTAAAAAACTGAAAAAAAGAAGATGAAAAAGCAGAATTAACAACAGCAGTTAAAACAAGCAATAAAAAACTTTTGAACACAATTAAAGCAGTCACAAATACGAATAAATTAAATAATAATGCTGATATATTGTTAAACAAATCTGACCGTAAAACTACACTTAATTATGTTAATTCATTTTTTGTAAATATAGGTAAATCTTTGGCGGAAAAACACCACGTTAATAAAAAAACTTGTAGCATTTTTCCTACAAACATATATCAACACTCCATGGTACTTATTGACACGGACGAACATGAAATAGAGACAATTATTTTAAATATGAAATCTGATTGTAGCGTAGGTAGAGATACCATTTCTACTTTATTTCTAAAAAGGTATAGACATTTACTAGTTCCTCCCATTACATATATATGTAACCTTTCCCTTAAAACTGGTAAATTCCCCAAGTGTTTCAAACTAGCTGAAATTCACCCTATTTACAAGAGCGGTGATGTGGGCTGTGTCAATAACTATAGACCCATTTCCATTCTTCCCACTATGTCAAAAATTCTTGAAAAAGTGATCAACAAGCGTTTGACTAATTACTTAGAGAAACATGATCTGTTATCACATTGCCAATATGGTTTTCGACCAAAACGTTCAACTCAGGATGCAGTTCATGAACTAACAGATTTCGTTGTTACAAACCTTGACCGTAAAAAGAAAGTAGTTGTTATATTCCTTGATCTAGCTAAAGCGTTTGATACAGTTTACGTCCCGCTCTTGTGAATAGGCTAGAAGATCTTGGAATAAGAAATACACAGCTGAAACTTTTCTCTGACTACTTAACGGATCGATATCAGATGGTAAGGATTGGTGGTTGCAACAGTGATGACCTTCCCATATCATATGGTGTACCACAGGGTAGTGTGCTTGGTCCCACGCTATTTCTTACATATATTAATACACTATGTAATCTAAAAATTCACAAAGGGAGGATCATTGCCTTTCCGGATGATACGGATCTTCTTTTCCAGGCAGATACATGATCTGAGGTATTTAACTTCGCACAAAATGGGTTTGATTTAATAACTAAATTGCTAAAATAATCTAAATTTACATTAAATATCGAAAAAACAGAATACATAGCATTTACTACCCAAAACATCAATGTATCTGAGTTAGAATACTTTCACATTACAGCTCACTGCTGCTCCCAAATTGAAAGCCCTTGCTCCTGTCCTACCCTGTCTAGAACGAATTGCATAAAATATCTTGGCGTAATGATAGGTAACACCCTAGGCTTTCACCTTCATATTGGCCTATTAAGTACAAGGATATGTAAGTTAATTTATATTTTTAAAAATCTACGTCGTGTTGCGTGTATGCAAAGACATATGGATGTAAAGGAGGTGGGAGAGGTAATTCAGGACCGTGCCAAATGGAAATCTGTATTCTGTGCCTACCCCTCTGGGTGACAGACATGAGTGTTTATGTTTATTATTATGTAGTCATCTCTAAGAGATTTGTATTTACTTTACTTACTTAGTTCAGCTGCCAATGATGCCACCCCGGCTAAAAAGGCGGTAAGATTTGTAAGATGAGTCTTACAAATCTAAAAAGAGTCTTCCTACGTAAATCCCGCACTAGTGATTTACCTCTCTCCCAAGGGTTTCTAAGTCATACTGTCGCGTTTCCTGCCATCGTCTCTAAGTATTCAGCGTATTAGGCTCTGAAGCCGTGGACTTATTAAGGCAAAAGCTCTTCGGAAAACATCGTTCAGAGAACTGTGACGGGACAATTCATCAGCTCTTTTCTTACATGAAAGTCACCACAAGGGTACTAATGATGTTGACAGATCCATCAAGTAACAAGCCGAGATTAATTGATGATAAAATATGTAACCAATAACTAATCTACTTTAATATTTTTATTATGTTTCATAGACCATTGACGATAATATGCATGGAAACAAGAAAAGCGGGCAATGCAACGCTAGAAAGATTTCTTATACCGGTATCTCTTAATTTAATAGATATTTATATTACTATATATTTGAAATATATTTAATAGGTTTAATAGATACAGTAGCTTGAGTTCAGGCGTATTTTTTTTAAAAATCTAAAGCTATTTAACTATCTAATTATAAAATTGTTAAAATGTACTTACCGTCAACTTTTTTTATAAATCCAAACATAGCTACGACAAGAAATAGGCAATACACTGGTCGTTCAAGTGCTGCGTACGCAGCTATGCCGATCGGTGAACTGATGTCCTTTACAAAGTATCCTGATAGAATCCAAATAAATATAGATGGTATGGAGCATCGATACAGGATACGGAAAATCTGGAAAAAGCAAATAAATATTAGTGGGGTGTTTTATCACCATACAAAATAAAAAAAGCTCTGTAACCTGTGCTACTAGATCTCAAAAATAAATGGCTGATGTAATATGACAATTCTTAAATATAGTAGACTAGCTTTTCGCATATGATCATATGCTTCATTTATACATTTTTATATGATTTTATAACAACTGTCATAATCGAAAGCATAAACTTTTTCCGTGCCCGATGCAAGCATCGCTTTTAGCGCTGTGTTGGACACAAATCCTGAGTGCGACATGTTTGCGGATGAATGGATGGTAATATTATCTGAATGCCTGAAGTTTTTTGAATGAGAAAAAATAACTAAACGAGTATGTTTTGTTTTAATGAAAGCAAAAAGCAATAAATAAATCGCCACGCACACGTGTCTCACTAATTATGAGATCGCATCGCTTCCTTTTGACATGTCAAACTTTAATATAAAATGTGGTAGAATTTAAAACAATATTTCATTTACCTTTCCACCATCTTATGGATGAAATTGTCAAAAATACTGAAACACGACTAGTGCCGCCTCGCAATTTACACATGTTCAACGTTGCCATAAATAATAATTTTTATTTCATTTTCAAACACATGTTTACATACAGGAACAAATATGATTACAATTAAAGGAAGTAACTTTAATAAAAATAATATGCAATAATAAAAATTAAAACTATGTGTAGTTAATAATGTAGAATCTACAAAAGAGAATTTGAAAACTGAAATTTATGATATTATCTACCTGCCTGAACTAGGTTGAGTACGTGTGTTTCAGATCATCACCTACACTTCGAATTTTATAATGTAGGACACAAGAATATTTAAATAATTAAACTATATTATATAATAAATAAAATAACTAAATAAAAATTATTTGTAACCTACTAATTAATACAAAACTATTTTATAATTTCTAACAACTTCTCTGTCTTCGTAATTTAATTTATTCAGAAATATTCCATTTCTTATAACTTACACTATATATGTTTAGTGACTAGTTGAGCTTGTTATCCAGAAATGGTCCTAAAAATATGTAAAATATGTTTACAAATGCGTGTTTGGTTTGAGGGTTTGCACAAACTAAGTACATTCTTCTCCTGTCCATGGATTTTAAATTAAATTGAAGTTCGGTATGCTGTTTTAATACGATGTTCAGAATAAACAACTGACTGACAGTTATTGCAACTACATGCCAGTAAAGTTGATGTGTAGGAAACATGAAAGGACGGCTACCTTTAGAACTGCTCTCTGAACACGTTCTAGAGAGAGCAATATTGTTTTAGAAGGACCACTCCAAGAAGTAATGCTATAAATGAGTATGGATTGACACAAAGATAAGTAGACCTGTCCTATTGATTTAAAATCAGCGATGTTATGGAGATATTTAAAAAATACAATTGACTCTCGTAAAATCTCCTGTGTATTTGCTTATACGAACGTAATCACCAACGTGAAACGTTGGTCCTTGACGTATCTTAGGCTTTTGAGACTTCTTGATGTTTGACGTATAAAAAAGATACTTGATGGCTTGATGTTTGACATAACTAAAATCGCATTTGATATCCTTATTCGCCTTAATCTGTCGGATGGTATCATAGTACCATCCTCTTATCTTTAAACGCATAAATATTTAAAAAGTGAAGTGTCGTTACACATTCTACCTAATCCCCCGTGTATATAAGGGTCCATTTTTTAATAATTATGCCATCTGTAGCTATGAATATACTACAGTTAAATCGAAACTCGAGGGACTCTTAAATATTACGAATTATCGAGTGTTCGAAATATCAAATGGTTCGAAATTTTGGGAGAAAATAAATAAAACTTCGAATTGTTAAGTGTTGATCAATTACTAATTATTAACTGCTATTCTTTAAACAATGACAAAAGTTTAGAGGTACATTATAATGTAAATTGATTAAATTAATCTTTCGAAAGAACTCTGTTATACTGGTTTGCTTCAAAGCACATTGCTGCTGCTCAGACTGCTCAGTAAGTATTTGCAAGAGAAAAAGTGCCTGAAATGCTTTTTCATTACTTTCGTTTTGTAGACAGAAGCTTTGTAAGCTCTTGCTTCCTTAACTGACACCTCTGCGAAAGGTTCTGATGTATCATGATGATAAAATTTCGGCATCGGTTAGTGAACATGAGACAGCAATATCTTTATCCACTTGAAAAATCAGAAAAACTCACACCGCTGATTTCAACTAGTGGTTCTATTGCTTGTTCTTCATTATCCATAATTATTAGAAGATTTTTCTGATCTTCACTCACAAAACCGGATTTTTGAAGCAGTAGAGAATCGTTAGGGGTGGTACCGCTCTCCATGCATTGTCAATCAGTAAAATAGCTGTCAAAACCGTGTCACAGTTAGCTGCAAGTCGAGAGATTCTAAAACGAGCACTAGATTTACTTACTGTTTCTTTCTCTCTGCAACATTGAATTATCGAGTGTTTGACGCCGATGAGTTCAAATTAACGAATCGTTTTGTTACGTAGCAATGACTTCTTCATTGGAATTACCAAGTGTATAAAAATGTATCGATTTAGTTCGAATTATAAAGAGATTTTGTAGGGAACTCAAATTATCGCAGGTTTGAATTAACGAGAGTCGACTGTATATATTAATTTACAAACTCTAGCACAAAGTAAATCGATGTGCTTGCTGAAATTAATTAAAACCTATTTTATATTGTCTGTTTTTGTTAATGCAGGGTATGCACATGCAGTGTCATAATACGCGCCACAGATATGAGCGTAAATATTTAGGTGTGTAGGTTTGCTATTATTTCTCATATAACAATAACATATATTGTCTTTTATACATAAGCACTCACGCCTGTCACCCAGAGGGGTAGGCAGAGACTACCGACTTCCATTTGGCACGATCCGGATACACCTCTCTCGCCTCTGTCACATCTATACACCTACGCATACATGCTCGTCGGTTAAGGGTACTCTTAATTTGGCCCCTTTTCAATGGATCGCCAATTTGGTCGACAAACTTTCGCCTAGAGTGTCCCTTACCGACTCTACCGTTCACTTTTGCCACATAAATTTGCTTTGTCACTCTTTCCGCATTCATTCTTTCTACATCACCAAACCACCGAAGAATTCCTTTCTTTATCCTCGTCACAATATCATCTTGCATACCACACTCTTCTCTTATCACATAATTTCTCACCCTGTCACTCAGATTCAGCCCTAACATACTCCTTAACAACTGCATTTCTACTGAGTTTGTTCTACTCTCGTGCTTCTTCTGCCATACCCAACTTTCACTACCATACGATATAGTAGGGACTAACACAGCATTGTGAATTGCCATACGTGACTTTTTTGACAGATTCTGACTTTCCATAATAGAATGTAGAGCCCCATTTACTATATTTCCTGCGTTCACTTGTCGTTCTATATCATTATCATATCTCCCATTCCTGCTAAATACGCATCCCAAATATACAAACTCATCTTCTTGCTCGAGCAATTCTCTTTCTATTCTTATTTCACATATCGTTTTACTTTCTTCTCTTTCAAAAATCATAACTTTCGTCTTACTTGCGTTCACTTTCATTCCACTTTCTTTTAATTACCAGTTCAATAATGTAACCATCATTTGCAACTCGGCCGCCGACGATGCAAATATAACTTGATCATCAGCGTACAAAAGGCATTAGATGGTTACCTCACTCATTCTTAACCCACATTCCTCAGCTTTCAAATTTTCAAACAACTGTCCATAAACACGTTAAACAGCCACCGGGAAGCCACACAGTCCTGTCTGACACCTTTATGGATGCAAACCAGTCTCCAAAGAGACTTCAATGCCTGTGTCAAACCAGCACTCAACCCAAATGAGTTTAGTGTTTCCCACAACAAATCCTTGTCCACTCTGTCATAAGCCTTTTTCAAGTCCATGAATGCACAAAAAACTTTTTGGTTTTTCCCAAAAACTTCTCCGCGATTATGCGCATGGAAAAGACTTGATCTGTACACCCAATTCCCTTTCTTAATCCTGCTTGCACTTCCTAAATTTTCCATCAGTTTTTTATAACTCTTTCAATTAATTACTAAGAAGGCTGATGAAACGGTAGTTTTTACAGTTCTGCTGCGACCCTATCACGGTTTTGCACCAGTCTTCTGGTACCCGCTTTAGTTCTCAGCATAAATTAAACAAGGTGTACAGCAGGCCTGCAACCACTTCCTCTCCAGCTCTTAGCATTTCGAGTGAAACTCTATGATATCCGGCTGCCTTACGTGCTTTCATGCTTTTCATTGCTTTCAATATTTCATCTATACTTGTATTTCTATATTCTCTCTGCTCTTCTTTCGAAGTTTCCATTTCATTTAATTTACACGTTTCCACACTCATAAACTCGCTTTCAAAATATTCCTTTCTTCTCTTTAAACTCAAAATTTCATCATTCAGAATACAGCCATTCTCGTCTCGTATAGCATTCAATCTAGGTTGTTTTGAATTTCTCCTGGCAGTTCTTACGAGTTTTCAGAACATTTTAATATTTGCCTAGAAGTTACCTGATATTCTTATCAGTTCTTTCTTGCTTTTTTCTTTCAACTACTTCTTTTATTCTATTATTTAGATATCTAAAGACTGCCTTTTATCTTTCTATATCATCATTCGTACCGCCAGAATTACCAACCTTGGTTGCTAGCAAATCTAGCCATGCTCACTTCTTTGCTTCAACTTCCATTCGTACCTCATCATCCCACTTTGACGTATTATTATTCTTTTCATTCGTTCTCTTACTAACATCATATACTTCGGTAGCTGCATCCACCAAACCTTTTTTAACATTGTGCCACACATTCTCCAAGTCTAACTCATTCATGCACAATTCATCAAAACTACTTATATTTTCGTTCATTCTACATTTGCACTTGTTTTTAATTTTTAATAGTTTTTGTACCTCATTTATATTTTTTACATTTAATACAAACTGTGTTTTAAAGTAAT